CATTTCTGATAATTAAAACCACAGATTATAAACTTATCGTCAAAAGCATTGTTTTTCGTGGTTCCAATTTTCGGAGTCGCGTACTAGTTAGATTACTAGTTTGCGCACATAGCACGCCCACTTATAGCCTCCAAAATTGTGCAGATCGCCTGACCGGCCCAGTTACTACACTGTTTAAAAGCAAGTTTATTTTTGCGCGCAGGAAATTTTACTCGTTTGCTCATCGTCATAAAAAACTATTTTCGTACCACGAATTAGGGACAAGATTTTTCTTCTTACAGTGCCATACTCTATATAGAGCGTCGGCTACCTGTCGCATGTACTTGTGATGTGTGTCATCAGTGTTTCACAAGTACACGGGACCTACAGTTTACTGCCGAATCCGAACGGCACTATTTAAGAGGCTCTACAAGGCAAATATACTCAAGGTGGTTTGCCATTGCTTTCCTTGAGGTGGCGGCTCGTTGATCGCTCTAATTAGATAAATAAATATTTTTATTTAAATAAATAAAGCGACCGTACTGGGTGGGGATCGAACCCAGTACCTTCCGCTCCGCAGATCGACACACTACCGCTGGAGCTACGGCCGGCCACAAGATTTTTATCTGCATATGTATAGTAGACCTAACCTGTGTTAAAACTATCCTCTATAATATTGGAAACCAAACAAAAATATTAGATAACCTACATTGTTGTTCTTTCAATAAAAGTACTAGCGCACGTATCAATAAACAGTAAATAAAGCCTTTTGGCCTTTTTATTTTTGACGCGCAGCGAATACACAAAAACCCACTGCTCGGTTGTTTGAAGTTCGGAAGTCGAGCTGTTTCCGCTGTAGCAGGAAATAATATCGCACTTGCTTTATACTCAAATTCTGGTCCTTCTCGACGTTACTCAAATAATAAACCCTCTGACAAAAGGTGTTTTCTTTCTTTTGATTTGAGGAAAATTGTAATAATTTGATATTTAATTTTAGTATAGTTATTTTGAGACAAGAAAATTAAGAAGAAGGCTATACCGGATTTCTCAGTGTGTGTTTTATTTAATGAAAAACCTAAATTTCATACGAAGTTAAAAATCTTAAATATTAAGTGGTAATATTGGTTTAGTGTCCTTGATAAAAACCCTGAAAAACTTACTTAGGGTGTATTCCGATGCTTACCTTGGTTATGGTTTTATGTTCCGTTTCTATCGGTTTCCTGAAAGTTTTCTTATTACCGAACACGGTTCCTGAAAAATTCGGTTATAACTGATACCAAACTAACCAGCGCTGGTTTTTCTGGTTTTGTTTGTTAATCATTGTCATTTATGTGACAGAAATCAAGCAAATATTGGAAGTTCGAGTGAAATTCTCATTTAATTTCTAAAATTTGTAATAATATTTTGTATTTACATCCAAAAGCAATGGAGGTAGGCAGTAAAGGTAAATAAATTTCATTAACTAAATAGAATGACTTTTTAAGACCATTTAAACTTATCATGCAGCCATTGTCTCTTAAAGTCAGGAACATTTAAAGAAAACATGAAAAACAAGACAAGTAATCGTGAATAGTAAGCTAATAAAGCTATAAAAATATTAATATTGAATAGATTTGTTTATTTATTATTGATCTGTTTTAATATTGGACCTGCAAAGCTTCACTTGAGGTGTCTAACGAGTTTAAAAGTTTATTAATAAAGTACTTTTCAATATTAAACTCCATTGAATAGACGAAGCAAACGTAAAAGCAGAGAATGGGTACATTAAAAATGCATAAAAGATAAATTTTACAATAGAGGTATTAAAATTTAGAAAACGTCAACGTTTGACGTTTCCAGTATTTTACCAAACCGTTCCATATCAAACCGATGTTTTTCAGGAACCGCTCTTTACCGTAGTTTACCGGTCTGGTTTGCCTGGTTTTGCAACGGTTGACAAGTACTCGGTGACAAGTATTTAACACGTATCAGAAGATGGTTACGTAAGGCGTTTCCTTTAATGAGTTTTTCTCTGAGCGAAAAGCCCGATACTTGATGTTATCTCTCTTCCACACTCCGGACATTCAAAAATCTCATTACTTTGTTGTCTCTTTACTTTTTGGTTGTCGTTGTTAATTGAGTTTATAATTTTTCTCTTTTGCGTTATATTGTGCGCTGCTTCCTCCCACTGATTTTACATGCTTATCCTCTTTAAGTTTTCATAGAAAATATCCTTGTACTTTTTGAGTTCTCCACCCGGTGTTCTCTTACCGTCAACAAGGCGGTTTTCTTGCATCCTGCATACGTGACCAGCCCATCTTAAGCGGGATTTAGTAACCATGACTTCAGGGCTCTCACAGCTAGCTTTTTCAAGGACCACTACGTTTGAAACATGGTGGTACTATTTGATTCTTAACAGCTGCCTACTGTGTTGCAACTTGTTTAATACGTTCATGTGTCGACGATACGTCACCCAGGTTGCGCTTTCGTATAACTTGCTGGGTACACTGCAAGTTTTGTTTCTGTGCTCAAGGCATGATTGTAAAAAACCCGGTCTTTTAATTTTCAGAATACTCTTGAAGCGCTGCTAATTCTGCTAATTCATATTTCAATAGTTCTTCTACGATTTTTATAGAATTGTTATGATTTTCCAGAGGAGTGCACATCATTTTAGTTTATCGATGTTCAGCTTAAAACCCAAAGGTGTTCAGCATTTCTTGTACTTGCTGTAACGTTTTTGCAACTAGAGCGCAGCGTATTGAAGTTCTGTGATGAATTTTATATGTGTTTGCCCTGAGTGATTTTATGTTGAACAGACCGCCGCGCGCCGCGCCGTCCTATATGTATTTAATGCCTATTCCTCTTTCCTGCACTTTACTATCCACTATAATAGAGAACGCTACTATGAATATGTTGAATAGGAGAGACGATAAGACACATCCCTGCCTAATTTCTCTATTTGTTAGGAAGGGATCCATGATGTGACACTCTAGACTTGTTGTTATGGAGGCTTTTAAACACTGGAAGAAATTCTTTGAATATTCCGAACTTTTGCATAATTGCCCACAGTGTATCTCTGTTTACAGAATCAAAAGCTTTTGTTAGTTCGGTGATTGACACTGACCGGCACGAAAAACGGTAACATTAAAATGTACATGCATTTTATAATTAAATGTTCTGTTACGTTTTTTGCTGGATTCCGTGTGGATAATCAAAAAGCTAATTCATCTAACAAAGCTTATTAACACTATAGAACAACACTAAAAACGATTTAATACTATTTACAACTTAGAACTAATGTTTATTGACGAATTTATGTATAATTTATTGAATCTAAAAAATACTTTATTATCAAGTTGCATCTTTTCTCGGTGGTTATTGAAAAGTCACATTATTATTGATTGTTATCAGCTACTCTAGTCTAGATGGTTTTAAGCTTTATCGCTATTGTTGCTTTTATTGACTTAAAACCATCTCTAGTAGAGTAACTACCAACAAACAATAATAATATGCCTTTTCAATGACAGTGACATTACAAAAACAATAACCACTATTTCATAGGCATGTTGATAAGGACCAAAAGCAAAGACATGCTTTTAATGCTAAAATTGCTGTAAATTGTTACTTTCTTTTTCAAATGCGAATAACTTCAATGAAAATAAATCTATTGAAATGAAAATAAAAACAATCTATCGAGGAAAGAAGAACTATGATAATAAAGTTGTTTTTAAGTTCGTACTTTGTTGAGTCCTTCCATAGAGTGCTTCAAATGAGGGGCGTCTCACTATTGGAATTACCTGTACATTTTCTTGGCAGTGGCTGGCAGTCATTGGCAGTCTTACTGCAGTCGCCTATAATAATTACATGGCAGTCATAGGCAGTCTTCTTCGCAGTCATTGGCAGTCGCTTGGCAGTAAAACGATATTTTGGCAGTACATGTACATTTTTTACCCAAGTGAGACACCCCTCGGTTTCAAACTTTCGCCAGAATAACATTTTGTTTTTCATATTATACATACAGGGTGAGTCTTAAATAAGTGCAAATATTATCGAGGCTGGTAGATCTCAATAAAATAAACTTATTTTCTGAGACCCTAAATGAATAAAATGAAAATTTGGATCTTTTCTGGATTTTTCTTGTAAGACTCTCTTAAGACGCACCCTGTATATTTTTTATATACAGGGTGAGCCTTAAATCATTATTTTCAGGTCTGGTCGATCTCGTAAAAGAAACATATTTTCTCTTTGCCGTTTTTCAAATAAATCTAAAATAACCGAGATATTTTACTTTGAAGATTTCTAAAAAATTAGATTTTTTGCTAAAATTTTGAGAACCACTGGATCTTTTCTGGATTTTCTTTCTTGTAAATTTAATCTACTACCTATGTTGCCATATTATCAACAAATTACAGTTTTTAAATAAAAATTAAAAAATGTTCAAGAAGTTCCAAATTTTCCAAATTTTTTTAACGCAAAAAAACCTCATAATCGTGTTTCTGCGGGTCGAAATATACTACCCATTAAAATATTTGCACTTATTTCAGGCTCACCCTGTATATGCTGTATAGTATGCTCGTGGCGATTTTTAGCAAGAGACATTTTTTACATACAAAATAACGATATACGTATATTTTTTCATGCAGTATTATGTATGTCAATAATTTTTTTGTTTTAAAACAGAAAACATATGTTTTATTTATCCCGTATATTTAAATAATACTTCCCGAATGTGCGCTACCATTACCCACGTGCTTTTTAAATAGAAATGAAGCAAAATTATCTGTTTTGTGCTAAAAATATCATTCTCATTCTGTCATAACAGCGTTTTCGCTAATATCTCTTACAAAAATGATATGAATTTTTAAAATCCTCATCGTTCCAGTTCCCCGACAGGTCTATAAAAATTTTAATGCCCCTATTGTAAACGACCTCAAAAAATAAAATGAAAAATTCTCTATATACATTTTTCTTTTCAGACCATTTTTAAAGAGTGTGGATTTCCGAAGGAGTGAGCATTTGTATTGTGAACTTATTACGACGACATGAAGGAATACATGAGAGGAATTTTTCTGGTCACGTAAGTACCGTTCCTAAAAAGAAAGCTTAGAGTCGTGTTTAGAACCGAAAAGAATGGCGACAATGCTTTTTAAGTATGTACGGGGGTGGTTTATATGGTGTAGAATATTGGTGATAATAGCAGTCTGAAACGGTTTAAAAAATCGTACCGTTATGAAGAATAATTGAAAAATGCAGGGTGTTAGAGAAGTTTGATATGATATAATTGGGAATATACAGGGTAGTCCGAACTGTATTCCGGAAACTTCGGCAGAATATTCTGCAGATAAAAGTAAGTAAAAAAGTTCGTATAAATGTATGTCCTAAAATGCTTAGTTTCGGAGATACAGGATGTAGAAGTTTCATTTTTAATTCGATTTATTCCAAATAATTTCTGAAGTAACGTCAATATTTGGATGAAAATTGGTGTCTAGAAGTTTTTTGACATGAGAAATTTGATTTTGATGTCAATATGACTCCTACTAATAGAGGGCGCCACATACATATTTTTTAACTGGTTTGAAGAGTAATAACTTTTCGTCCGTACCTGTATAAAACTACTGAGTAAAAAATATACATTTACGACGTTTTTTTTGTGAAGAAGGTCTTGGTAAAAGTAATGGCTACAAGTAATGGTTTTCAAGATATTTGGAATCGAAATTATCAATACCTGTCATCATTGACATAAATTAAATATGCTGACTAAATAGTTATTAGACTGAAATCATAAATTTGAAAAGTGTTTGTGCCAAAAGGTCAACAGAAACTGTTTTATCATCATTTTTTGCAGAAAAATTTACGTTTAATTTAAAAAAATTGAAATTTACCAAATTTATTATTTCAGTGAAATAACTATCTACTCAACACTCAACGTGTTTATTTTTTGTCAATAATGACATGTATTGTCTATTTCCATTCTAAATATCTTAAAAACGGTTGATCGTAGCGATTTTTACAAAGAGATATTTTTTACGTAAAAAGTCACAGAGATGTATATTTTTTCGCTCGGTGGTTTTATACAGGTACGGACAAAAAGTTATTACGTTTCAAAACAGTAAAAACACATGTAGGTGGCGCCCTCTACTAGTAGGAGTCATATTGACACCAAAATCAACTTTCTCATATCAAAAAACGTTACTTCAGAAATTATTTTAAAAAAATCGAAATAAAAATGAAACTTCTACACCCTGTAACTCTGACAGTAAGCATTTTAGGGCATACATTTATACGAACTTTTTTACTTATTTTTATCTGCAGAATATGCTGCCGAAGTTTCCGAAATACAGTTCGGACCACCCTGTACACATAAACAGGGCATCCCAATATTCCGTGGACACACCGGGTGGTGCATTGTCGTTGGAAACAGGAAATCCCATGCAAATTTTGAATTTTGAAGGTCTGCGTCTGCTGAATAGACATGCGAAATTTGAACAATTTTCAACAAGCCGATTTTAAATAATTTATGAAAAACTGCATCTATTTTTAAATTAAAACTGAACAAGTAACAATGCAAAACCAGTAATTGTCAACATACCTTAAGTTATACTTTGTTTTTTTTCTCAGGTAAGATTTCGACAGACGATGACAGAAGAAAAGCAGATGACGTCCCATACCAATCTATTTATTTTACTAAAAAAAGTTTCTAATAATTTTTAAGTTAACTATGGATGGGTTTAAATATAAATCCGTCATGCGTCGTCACTTGTTGTTTTTAACCAGTTTTATTGGTTTATTTCAAAAATGACAGATCGTATTTCAATTTCATTGGTTTGCCGGAACGATGAACGACAAACGGACGCCGATGCGTATGAACTCGCCTTTAGATTTTTGACTCTTGTCAAAGTCTTGCCAAATTAGAGGTTATAATTTTGTGTCAACTTTTGTCAGTTTTATGAAATACCCTGCGTTTTGGAAGATGATGCATTTTGATTCGTGTTATTACGTGTGTTTTGTATCTTTTGAAGCCAAGTGGAGGAAAAATCGAGTGAAAACTAACTGTAGACCCAGAGCACAGTTTATGGTTAATACTCGCTGCTCAGGCAAAAAGTCTTTTACACCAATAAAGTTACCATCTTTAAAGTTCGTATACCATCTCGTCGTAGATAAGTGCATATCGAATATGGTAGAAGGACCATACTAAACACATACTAAAAACTGAAGTAGCTGTAAAATATCGACATCACACAATAGGTAAATAATGGATTTTAGTACTGCACAAGAAAAATAATGCCAAAGGTACTGGTTTAAAAAAATTAAGATTAAAGTTAATTAATCAACCTTTAAGTGTGCTTTAAGGTACCTATAAAATTTGGTAAGTGTTATTAATAATAAAATAGTTTGTTTTATTTGTGTTGTTTTATTTATTCCTGCGGAATATTACAAATTTGTATTTGTACATAAGTTATGTGGATAAATATAATCATAAATACGGGAACTTTCATAAAGCTTGAACGAAAATAAGTAAGAAATAGTTCTTTTTTGTATTTTTTTGGTATGTGGTGTCTTGTTCTTGTTTGTTTTGTATTAACACATACCGTTTTTATTAAATAAAATAACTCGATTACATTTTTTCAGTTTTATACAGTTTTTTTCACAATATTTTGAAGTAATCACTTGTCAGTCAAATTTTAAATACATATATTAATTTCCTGCTATGCGTTCCAGTTGTACCAACTTATTTCTTTGTAAAATAAAATAAACTACTTTGAAATTAAAATGACAGACACATCTATCACTGTCAAGGATCTTCTCGTTGGATAGACTATATCAACCTATTATTAAATAATTATCAAATGTAATTTCTTGAGCTGTCTGCACTACTACCTTATAGTACCTATGCTTAGTGTTCCCGAAATGTATTTTTGTAATTTTAAACTGGTTTGAATGAGATACATGCATAACGGTTAGAAAATACAATTTGACATTGACAAAATTATAGGATGACAACTTTAGGTACGTCGCACGGTGGGGCTGATTGAAGAATCGCTGGCCAAAACCTTCAAAGATATATGAATCAACCAAAAATATATAGAATTTAACAGTTTTTGCTTAATTGAATTTCTAGGTAGTCAATCTTCAAAATTTTAGTTAATTAAATTATACTTCACGTATATACCCATCATATTAGCTCATCAATATAATGTGAGAAAAAATACCCGGATGACAAAACTTTTACGCTTTTGCCTTGCAAGCCATTTCGAATATTGTTGTCTTGTGGCATGTCTGTGTGTCTTTCTGTCTGTTTATCGGTCTGTTTGATATTTTTTTTATCCGTATGTAACCAACAACTTTGATAAAAAAATAAATATTGTTTCTGGATTCTAGTTTTGAAGAAGTAAAAAAATAATTATTTTCAATCGTGGTCTCACATGTCTCAAAATGAGTAGTCGGCAAGTAATCAAGAAAGTACGGGCTAGATTTTTCGAGTACCTATTACAGGCATCTAAAAATTAATTTCGGATAATGGGGGGGTTCCAAAAATTTTAATAACCATTTCTGAGAAAGGGTGGTTTTGGGTGCTGGAATTTTTTTTCCTTCTATTTTTTGGATTGGAGCAACTAAAAGATTTGAAATTTAGCGTTATGTAATGTGTTAGGTTAGGTTAGTTAAAAATAATTTGTTTAAATGCTTAAATTTTTAAAATCGGTTCATTATTTTAGTACATATCATAGTTTGAATTTACGTGCGGATATTTTAATAAGTTAAGCCGCCATCTTGAAATTTTAAACTGTCATATTTAGACTAAAACGTAATATTTTTAAACATATTGCCTTACTTCAAATCTCCATGTTGTTCCATTAAAAAGATAAAAAAGGAGTGGGGACATTGTATATTATCTAAGCCTGGATCTAAGCATTAATTCAGTTAAAACCCACAAAATTTGTAGATTTGAAGTGGGGTGGGACTGAAGGGTCTTGGACCCTTGGACCCCCGAACTATTTGCTTGATTACAGGCGATTCATGAGTATCAGATTTTATTAAAATCACACGAACTTAATCTAAATAAATCATAAAGACCTATAGTATCTATTACTCAAAGTACCAGGGACATAATTTACATTTAAAAATATTTTTTTTTAAAGTTGCGCAAGTTGCGCAAGATGGTAACAAATACATGAAGGGTAATGTCCAATCTTTCAAAAAACATCAGCCAATAAATTGGGCAACTTTGGGCACTCAACAAAACTCAAGGTTAAATAGCATATTTTATTTTTTATATTATACTAATTTATTAATTAATTTAGTATGCATCAGTGAAAAAGTTTTTTTTTCAAAATATAGCTAGAAATAGTCAAGTAGTATAGTACTTTTATAAAAAATGCAAAAAATTAATTGTATTTAAAAATTAACCAAGAAATTTTACTTATTATTCGGGCTCTACAAATTGCAATTATTATACACGGTAGAACTAAACCTTCGACATTACTGCCCTTCACTGGTTACAGATCTGCATCCAAAATTTTTTTCTGTGCATAATATAATATTTCGGTTTTTTCTGTATTCTATGGTCATCAAAACTTTTTGAAAAAGCAACTTCTGTTTTATTAGGTTCTGGCCGCAAAAATGGCAATCGGCCCCACTGTGCGTCGGCATTTACCTGTTTTTGCATTGTTACCTGAACACCTTTAATTTAAAAATCGATGCAGTTTTTTTTAAATTACTTAAAATCGGCTTGTTCAAAATTGTTGAAATTTGGCATGTGTATATTCAGCATACGCACACCTTTAAAAAACCTATTTACAACTTTGCTGTAAAATTAATAGGGGAGCCAATATTTGGACAGTTCAAAATTTACATGGGATTTCCTATGTTTTCAACGACGATGCACCACCCGGCAGAACTACTACGTATTTTTGGAATCAAATTAAGTTCATTGGACAAAATTTACCTCTATGTAAAAGTGCTTCGTTTGTCCATTAGAGGGCATCAGACTTTAAAAAAATTTAAACATTTTTGCAGATACACTAAGAACCCTTATTCCGATTTGAATGAGATTTGGGGTGCCTATGTTTTGCTAAGCGC